CCCCAAAACCCCAAAACCCCAAAACCCCTTATTCAAATTTAATTCGATTTTATGTTTATTTAGAAAGCAATAAACTAGATTTTATACCAAACACAATCAATTATACTCAAAGTGGCCATCGTCATCCTCATCCAATTTCCTGTCAAATTATCCATTCTCTAGTTAACTATCTATTATATTATCGATGTCATCTAAGCAATCAGCCAGCTCTCCATTATCTATATCTATCATATCTTCTTCCTATGTCTAGTTGAAAATCATTTGGAATCCAATATCATCATTCACCTGATTGGCAATGCTGCCTTGCCCTTCAATTTATGTCTAATTCTAGCTTTTAGCCTGAATGTTATAATGAGAATTCTGCTCAGTCTATTGCTTTTTAGCCGGCCTGTTATCCATTGTACTCTAATCCATATTATTGCTATTTTGATAGTTATTAGCATAGCTATCTTGCATTTGCTCATCATAATGATGATTGCTTTCATTACTATTCTACATAGCTTCTTCCCTTTTGCGCTTCTTTTCCATCGCTATCCTTCGATTTTCTTCTATCATTCGGAGCTATTCCTGTGTTAGTTCATTTTGTTGTTTTATTTAAGTAACTGGGAGATTGAACTATGCATTAGACTATTATTAGTTACTAAAAGTGTTTGCAGGATCCATTAGCTTAAAGAAAGGCTTTTCCTCTTCATATTCATCAATAATATTGCCATAAAGATCTCTCTTAGGCTAGCTTTTATTGTTGGTTGTTGATGTATTAATATATTCAAACATTGGTTTATCTCCTTCAGGATTCGGCTTATCATTAATTGATTTGCTATCAGTAGGTTTTTCTGCTTACTTGTAGAGATCAGCAAATTCATCCGTCATCAGATCTCCCTTATAGATCTATCTTAATTTGCTCATATAAACTCTCATTGCCTTATCATTTCCAGCCTTAATTAGCCTTTCAGCGAAGAAACTAAATTCTAGTTTGGGCATTGCCTCGAAATGCCAGTTCTTATACACATTCATCAGCTTCTTAAAATCACTATGTTCATGGCCTGCTCCCCTAAACTGCAGATTCTTATCCTTATCAATAACCATTGTTTTGTAGAGATTCTTCATTCCTAAGGGATTATCAATAAGATAGTTGTGATCAAGCTTGATTCTTGGTACTCTAGGCTTCTTCTTTTTCTGCTCCTCAATTCTGTTTCCGTTTTCATCAACATTTTCCTTATTAAAATCATCATCGAAATTGAATGGGTCATTATTAAGCTTGACTGGTAATTTGATCTCTTGATCGATCTCCATTTTAATTTGGCGGTAGTTAAATTTATTTTATTTCAAATTCAATGCAAAATCTAACTTTAAGGGGTTTTGGGGTTTTGGGGTTTTGGGGTTTTGGGG